ACTTGATATTATTTAGTTGTTTTTTCGATGACATAGTAAAGTAAGTCATCTTTTACTGCTTAGTTTTAAAGATGATTAAAAAGTTTCGCAATTTTATTAATTTTTGCAGCATCCGGTAACCGAGTAGTGAAGGTGGTAACAGAAATGAGTTCCTCTTCATTGACCAGTGGTATGTCACCATTTGGTCAGAATGCTGCATCAACCATTCGTGATGCTCGTGAACGAGAGAAGAAGGAAATGAGTGATTTAAATGATCGCTTAGCTGATTATATTGAAAAAGTTCGGATATTTGCTTAAGCTATACAATTTGTAATGAAATTTTAAAAAAATTTAATTGCACTTGAATAATTTTAGAAATTGTTGCATTAAAACGTGAATTTTAGCTATGTTTGAAATTCAGGTACGTTTCTTGGAAGCTCAGAACCGTAAATTAAACGCTGATTTGGACATGCTACGTGGACGATGGGGAAAAGATACGTCTAGTATTAAAATAATGTTCGAAGGGGAACTTTCTGTAAGTTTTGAAGCGTTAATTCTGTATTGTCAAATATACCATTAAAAGGTATTAATTAATTCAATAAAGGAATTATATTCATCATTTGATGATAAGTAGCGGGAGAAAGATTGAACTATTTGATTATTACCATATTAAGTGTTCACTATCCGTTAATCACCATTCGAACAAATCATTCAAAATTCGTCGATGAATTAAATTAAACTATTTCGTAAGGATAACATAAATGCCAAAATTTTTAGTAAAAATATTCATTTATCACTAAGAAAAATGATAGCTGCAGAGGGGAAACTGAGATGATATACATCGTAAGACAAAAGAAAGTTGGAGTAGAACGAAGAGGGAGTAAGAAATTTTTTATAAATTTTGAGATTCTATTTTTGTCAGTTTAGCGAATGAAACAAAAAGCATCGCAATCCCATCGAATCTGGAATGTGATATTGATATATCAATATTCAAAGTCCCTATTCAAAATTATATTGTCCTTCTCTTTCTTTAGCTTTGTCATTTGGAATTTAACATAATTAAAATAATATGGTTGCGTACACACAAGAAAAAGCAGACAAGATTGCATTCGGAATTAAATAAAAATTAGAAATTTAGTAAGAAATGGCGAAAGAAAAAAGAGAACTGTTTCAGTTTATGGTTGTGATATCTTGTGATGGAAGATTATTATGAAGAGGCATAATAGAACAGCGAATTGTTTTGCTAAAAACATTTCCTAACAAATATTTTGTAATTTTTTCAGGAGGCTCGAAAAGTAATCAATGATACAGGAAAGCAACGAGACGAACTGGAAAAGCAAATTAAGAAGATGCAGGAAGAATTGGCGGAATATCGTAGAAAGTATGTTCCTGAAAATTTGTTATTGTTACTTCAATTCATAAGAAACGGTATATTAGCAACAGTGATTAGTTGAAGTAAGGTATAACCTGAAGAGATAAAGATGGTTTACTCTCTAATAGATTATACATCTATTGGGTCGTATAAATTAGGAAAGGGGAAATAAGTCAAGTAAAATGGTTAGTGGAAAAATTTGAGCTAAATGATAAGATTAGATAATATGTGGCAAAAGATGCAAATTATGTAGGAATTACATCGAAGCTTGACATTTATCTTTCGATTTAAAAAAAAAAGACCCTTAACAATTTTGATCTTTTTTGGTTTCTGAAAGAGATTTCTAATTCAGATTCAAATACACTGAAAAATTTGACGCGTCTGTTTTTTTGACCACTGACTATAGTTCACGTTTGACTTGGAAATCTTTTGTAGAATGCACAATATACAAATTCGGATATTACTTGGCAATTAACTTTTAACATGTAATGAAGTAAAAAAACTTAAGGATTTCTTAGCTAAAAAAGTTGAAACTAAAAAGGTTTTACCTAAAAATTGTCCTCATATAATTTTTTTATCTTTTGCAGATTTGATGAAGCTACAAAGGCACGTCTAGCTGATCGTGACAAAATTGACGAGCTTCTCGTTGCACTATCAAATATCGAAGCTGAAATCAATCTTCTACGTCGACGGATTGCCTTGTTGGAAGAAGAAATTTTACGAATAAAAAAAGAAAATCAACGGCTTGTGGGCGAATTACAACGAGCACGAACAGTAAGCCATTCATCTTATCTCTTTTCAGAAGGACAGGTCTAAAGTATGAAAAGAGTAGTAAAATTTCATTGTCTCATTTTATTTGATCATGGTTTCCGGATCGATCTTACTATTCATATCTGAAACGCCGCAAATCTCATTCTCAGATAGAACGATGTAGAATTGCTGAGAAATACAGAGATTACAGGAAGTACACTTCATCCATATTTATGACTCTCTCCCTTCTGCCTTTACTCTTCAATATCAGTTTGAGACTTCCTAAAAACATTTCCATTGGGGAATTCTAAAGTTGATATTGAAACGAACTTCAACATTTAAGCATTTTTATAATAAAAGAAAAATTTCAGGATTTGGATCAAGAGACATTAAATCGCATCGATTATCAAAATCAAGTGCAAACACTTCAGGAAGAGATAGATTTCATTCGTCGTGTGCAAGATCAGGAAATTCGTGACTTACAGGCGATGGCAGCACGTGATACCACCAGTGAGAATCGTGAATTCTTCAAAAATGAGCTCTCATCAGCTATTCGTGATATCCGTAATGAATATGATCAGGTTTGTTATTCCAAATAGTAGCCTGAGGTTACTTCCAATCTCACTTTTCTTTTTGCAAAATTGTCAGTTAGCAACATAGCCGATAGGTAGCTAGGATTTAATATGATGATTAGTATCGCAGGTTTCTTTTAGAGGGTCCGTCATGTTTGATGTTCTCTTAGTCACTCTACCACCAAGTGGTTCTTTAGACAGTCTTTTTAATTTGTGAAGTTATTCGTTTCGTTAATTGTAATACTTTATAACACTTTACGACAAACTAAATTTTCTTCAACATTGACAAATATTAGGAATCGGTTAAACGTTTTCTTTTTTTTTGTAGATGACAAGTGCCAGTCGCAACGACATGGAATCGTGGTACAAACTGAAAGTGCAAGAAATTCAAACGCAGTCTGCGCGTCAAACTATGGAACAGGGTTATCAACGAGAAGAAGTTAAGCGGCTCCGTGTACAACTGGGTGATTTACGGGGAAAGTTAGCGGATCTGGAAGGAAGGGTGAGTTCGTGACCTCTAAAACTTATCGTTTATTTCTAGTTGGTTTTGATTAAATGATTTTGAGAAAAACTTGTTTTGAATGTTTTATCAAAAGCAATTCTTGATTCTTGGATTCAGAAAATTGTGACACAAATTGAAAATTTATTTACAATTATCGTAAATATCATCAAGACTGTTTGATCACGTCACACTATAGGACTGGTTTTTACTTTTCTTTCCAATTTTATAAATTATATTGGTGTTTGCAGAATTCACTACTTGAGAAGCAAATCCAGGAATTAAACTTCCAACTTGAAGATGATCAGCGTTCATACGAAGCAGCACTTAATGACCGCGATGCGCAAATTCGCAAGATGCGTGAAGAATGTCAAGCACTGATGGTTGAGTTGCAAATGTTATTGGACACCAAACAGGTAAGTAGTCATGTATGTGACACATGATAAGCTGGAGAAAGTTGAGAGATGGTGTCTAAGAGACTGGTGAGATATGTATGATGAGATAGATAGATGTGTAGTTCGTGATAGAGCAGTTTAGAATTTTTTTCTCAGACCAAATTGGACTTCGAGAATTAAATTATGGTTTGTTGTAGACTTTGGACGCCGAGATAGCAATTTACAGAAAAATGTTGGAAGGCGAAGGTGATGGGCCTGGCTTAAAACAACTCGTTGAACAGGTCGTTCGCACTACAGGCATCAACGAAGTCGCTGATACTGGTATTTTCACCCTGATTATGAAGACTAATTAGGCAAATTAATTGGTGCTTACAATGTTTGAAGTGACCTTTCGTTATGTTTAGAGATAAAAATGATAATGAAAGGTAAATGCCATTTTTCATCGTCATCAATCCATGGAATTAATGAAATACCGTTCTCAATTCGAATTCCAAATAAATTTTATAAACAAGAGGTTATATTCCTATCTTAATCTGGAAAAATACCGATATTAAATGTATTTTTAATAGTTAATTTGAATCGCCGATAGTTCCCTTCATTTTTTTACAGAAACAATGCGTGTGGTAAAAGGTGAAACATCATCTCGTACATCATATACTCGCTCAGCGAAGGGTAATGTTTCCATTCAGGAAACATCACCGGATGGTAAATTCATCGTCCTTGAGAATACACATCGTTCTAAAGAGGAACCAATCGGTGAATGGAAGCTAAAGAGAAAGATTGATGGAAAACGTGAAATTGTTTATACACTTCCAAGAGATTTCATACTAAAACCAAGTAAAACTGTTAAAGTAAGACTTTGCAATAATTCAGCATTATTTCATTGATCAAGTTTCTTAATTTCGAAAGTTATGCATTAACTGGATAGAAAAAGAAACTGATTCCATAGATATTTTACATTATTTCACAGTGGAAAAATATGAAAAAATTCAAAATATTTCAGATTTGGAGCCGTGGTCAAGGCGGAGTTCATGCACCACCCGAACAGCTTATCTTCGAGGGCGAAGAGTCATTTGGGGTGGGAAGTAATGTGCAAACTATCCTTTACAATAAGGAAGGCGAGGTTCATCCTTTCAAATGTTGCATTGCTTCATTTTAAACTTTATTCATTGTTTTTTACGGGCCAATTTTGGCTAATTTATTTTGTTTCAGGAACGAGCAACTCATATTCAACGCTCGAGCCAAACAGTCAGCTAAGAAACAAGGCTCTCCTTCAATTACCCCATTATCTCTTTTTCCCTTCCATCTCTTCCTCCATCATTATCCCTTGATACTACATTTGTTTGTCGTCTCTTTCTGTTATATTTAAATCATCAATAAAGATCATCCTTTGAACGTATAAAAAAAGGGTGTTATCATATATCATTGAAGTAATGATATTGATACTGAAATCTGATATTCCCGCGCTATTTCGACATGCCCACCGAGTTCAAGGTCAATGCTAATCTTCTGTAAATAAGTAATAACTTGGAAGTTAACAAAAATAACAAATGTGGACTACTACAAATGAGTCGAAACGAATGGCCTCTTAATAGTTGCAATGGAGAAGGAAATGCATAAAGGATGAGGCTAGAGGTAAATACTGATTAGAAATAGGATGTAGCTGGGGAGTTTTAGGAAGCTCCTCATCTAAATCCTCAGTTCTTCACCTACCTCGAAGTCCAAGTGATGCCCTAAGTTCAGCAGCACAACATCAAAACATCAATGATGCCAAACAGGAACTTGCAATGGGTTTGGACTCAACATGCGAGTTTCGGAATTCGTTTGAGCTAGTTGTATTTTCATAAGGGTTAAATGTTCCCATTTACTTAAGCATTTTTATGGTATAAAGGCTGTGTCCAGTAGGGATTTGAGAGGAATGTCCGCGCGAGGTCATGGGTAATAATGGTTATGGGATGATACTCATGGGTAATAATAGTGTGGAATCACAACATGACAAGGAACAAACTTCTGCAAAAATGAGAAAAGTTGGAATATACCTAAAATGATCGGATCGATATAGCATCTGCAACATATTTTGAGCAACTACGTCTACTCAGGTTTTAGCAGTAGGTCAAATAGGACGATGAACTCTAAGATTTTAAAAAACATATGCTGCTGAAAAGTAGTTTTACTGAAGAGTATAAATTTAGAATGTCAAGTCACGCGTCTAAGTTATATGTCTACATGAAAGGTTGACTACAATTTCTGATTAACTATGAGATCTTTGCTGATATGAAATGAAATATTCTGTGGCATTAGTTACAACGAAAGTATTTCATTTACCAATAACATCAATTGCATTTTAAACAAGGATCTAACAAAAATATTATTTCAGGATTTTCTTCGGTTTTGTTCATCCCACTAATGTCAATCATAGAATTACACTGAAAACAGCGCATTCTATGGTTTCAGATGAACTATGGCTAAAGTTATAAGAAGTAAGTTATAGCGGCTTTAGCATATAAGTTTGAAATATATGATTCCCGACTTTGCCAAAACTATATTACTCGCTAAAAGTTCAGTTTCGATACGCTTGAATTTTTTGTGTTGAAAAATCGCATTGATTATTTTACTTTACAGGTTTGTTCCAAGTTGCATAGATATATTAGTTCAAGCTATTCTTATCTGTAGATAAGTAAAAATTCAAAAAAAGTTCATCTTATTTCAAATCCTAAAGTCATCTGAATTACATTTTTTTATGAGGTACTTCTTTCATTCCGCTGCATCTTATAAAAGAACTTAGCAAAAATTATCACAAGAATCTGAAAAATTTGTTTTTTTGAAGCAAAAAAAAGGAACATTTTCCTAATTTTTATAAATTAAAATTTTTTTATAATTATTATAGATCAATGGGTGTACAAAAAAACTGGGCACTGGTATCGGTATCTTCCGCGCAGAAATGATACCTCAAAAGAATTCGATTATGAAAAGCAAATGGCCGGGCCAGAGCATTTTCCTGAAAAGGTTTTTCTCCATAAATTTGTATTTGAAAAAGGGATTTCGCTGCAGATTTGACGGAAGTTTCTTAAGGGGTTTAGGCGGTTCCCAATATATTGTTCAGAGCTTAGTCAAGAATAGTTTAGTTGCATGGAAAAGATGCCTATGTAAATAATTTTTTACATTTAAAATTTTACATTTATATTTAAAAATTAGTGCTGTTCTTACTCTATCTTGGAATATATCCACGATATGGAATAATCGGAATCATAATTGATGTACTGAAGATGAGTGAATTCAAAATAAATAACTAGACTGTTTCAGATGGAAGGCAAACCACCGAAACTTTGGTTGGTGTGGATCTATAGAAATTACTCGACAGATTCGGCATATATCAAAAAAAAAATTGAAAAATTATTTGGTATAGATGCTGAAGTAAGTAATCGTGATCAATTTTTGTGAAGAAAATTAAGTTTTTTTGGATAGAGAAAGGATTAATCGTACCCTTTAGCGTATTAAAATGACTTCTAAGAGTAGTTATTTGTCGTTTTTATAATTGTTGTTCATTTCTGTTTAATACGTCACAATCCCATACATAATAATATATTTGTGCTTCAATTCTTCATGCCTTCTATTTTCAACATGAGATTTGTTTAACACTTAAAATTATATACTTCATCAAGGCACTATGATAAATAGTTTGCTGTTTGTGAAAATGAGTAAAGAAAGATAGTACAAGCTTCCTTGTCTTGAAGATTAGCATTGTAGAATAATTTGAATGAAATTAATGTATAAATAAGCGCATTTTTTCGTTTGGAAACCAAATGAAAGGTTGTAATGTGCTTCTTCTAATGCATACTTCCAAATTTCTTTCCAGCCTGGTAAAATGTTTATTTTCAAAAATACTGCTTCACAAAATGCAGAGTTATGGCCTTTAAAGCACATCATTGAAGTACGCGCACTTTCTTTTCCGAATGGCGAACCAACAATTGATGATGTGAACGCTTTGGAAGTAAGCATAAAAATATCGTTGTTTTTAATTTTAAGATAGCGAGCGGTTTTGTCCAGAAAATCTTACATTAATGGTGTGTGTGCTAAGAACTGATATCTGATATTTAATGGTGCGTAATTCTGTAAAAAGATGAGGATTTGTTTCAAGAAAAATACTTGAAATTTCTTCTCACATTTAGTTTAGGAGTTTGAGCAGATGATTGAACATCTTTTTAAAATAACTTTTCCAGGTCTTTCCAGATGGAAGATGTGTAGTTGATAAGCATTTAGCTTGTGAACCATCTCGGTTGAATGTGGTGGACTCGCAGAAGCAGGTATTTTTTTTTTGTTTTTAATTTATTCTTTTATTCCGATTTACAATAAATTTTTTTCTTATGACAGTTATTCTTCTGAAACTATTCATTCAATTCTAAATCGTTCGGATTGTTACTGCGTCCTATCACTGCTATGCAGTTGTACATACATCGAATTTATCACATCATCTTTATGTATTATAAAATGCAGATTATAATTTCTGATTCATTTAGATGAGTAGCAGCTATCTGTGTTCACGACTAAGAAGTCGATATAATAAATGTCAGGATATATTTGAAACAAATGTTTATACAGCGAAGAATGTCACATTAATTGAGTGATTGTATGTTTTTATTGTGTTGACTGACCTCTTGTGTTTTTTAAGTTGTTCAAATCTCCATTTTTGTTATGCTTAAATTTTAATTTGAAGGAAATTAAAACATTAGAATTGCTTTGTTCATATTTGATACTGTTTGCTATTGGAACAAATACATTGCTTAAGCGGTAGTAGGCCACACGCGCAGATATAATGCGTTGCCCTGATGGCAGATTTGAGCAAGTTCAGGTTTTTATCAATAAGTTCAGATTTTTGTCACAATGTGTTGAGATGATATGGCTTCGATCGTCACATATGTAACTCAAGGTTTTTTCTCCATAGAGTTATAAGTGGTTTCCATAAAATTATAAGCGGTTTTTAAATTATAAGCGACATAACCTGATGTTCAATAGTAGCAAGCACATAAGATTTGAGTAGTTATTAAATGCAATTTGTCAGAATTTAAACTAGGTAATGAATCCTTGCATATAAAATTCATTCTGTCGTCTTCCTTATGTAAGGAGTTTGCGGAATATCAATCCACAATGCGAATTTTCTCAAGTCCTGAATATTTTCATCAGATGGTTGCTGCCAATGACTGTCGCGATTTGAGAAGTTTGTTGTTTCGCAGATAAAGATTGCTAGAGAGGTTTATTCCTTGTGGGAGATGAATTTATTCTTCCTGAATTTATTCTTGTTATAAGATAATATCAGGGTAGAGTCGATCACTACTTTGTAGTATGCTGGTAGAGCCGATTATGTATTTCTAGTGTAGATCATGACAATGTCCTCACCGGAATGAGGCGCATTATTTAACGCTTTTTTGAAGACAAAAAGAGCTATGTGATCAAATGTGTTTAACATTTCCAACTATTGCAAAACAAAGCATCTTAATATATCCTTTAGATACAAAGCAAACTAAATGAACTTGATTTGAGAAACATTGATGAGTAATCTTTATGGTATGAATTGGCTAAACGATAAAAGAATTTTCCACAGTAGAGCTACTTTGATTATTCAAACACAAGAATTTTTTGAGCATACAATAAATAGATAAAATCGATGATAAAAAGGGAACTATTTCATGTAAATCATTTATATAATTCTTTAGAATAATGAATTGAGATATTAAACAAATCATTTCACTGCGAATATTTGAGAGGAAAAATTTCTATAACATAAATTTTACGAGTACAACAATATTCTGATTATATAAATATTTTATTATAAATTTCGGGTTACCGACAGATTTGTTCTTTTTTTATTGTTTTAAAATTTTAGCGTTCAGAGTAAAAATGTAATAGCTGCACATTTCCGGAAAGTTCATCTGCAATGAGTACGCCTTTTTCTTAAATAAAGCTTTTTTTTTGAAATTGTTTTGAATGAAACGATGGAAGTTTCATGGAGGGCTATAGAGATGTGTTACATCTTGGATTTCATATCACTTGGTAGAACTATACTAGCCTCACCAGAGGTTCAGTTCATGAGTCAGATTCCAAACTGTCAAAAATTGGCTGTCTTGAACGAGAACTGGCTATCTGAAAGAAATATCCTGTCGTTATACAAAGAACATATAATAATCATCTGAAATATTTTCTACTTTATGGAAGACAAATGGAATAGAGAAAAAGAACGAAAATGTTTCAAATAGTTAAATCTCGAGAGAGTATACTCTTAGATTACTAGTGAGAGAAGAAAGAATAAAGAAGTTTAGTCCGACTGGAGTTTCGTAACCGAGACGATATCTTATTTGCAACGGCTACTTCCATTACCCACCGACATGATCTCTCTGTAATGAAAGATAGGGAAAGCATCTGATGAGGAAAGTATCTCACTTTTAACTCTTTTGGCATGCAACTTCTGTTGAATCCCAATCGTCCATACAATTACCCAAAAATTACGTGCCAAATTAGAATAAGACATATACGTATGAGCTGCTGCACGCAATTAGCATCCAGAGATGATTGTTGTCTACTAGTAATTTTTTTCGATAATTTAATGGCACGACAGTCCTCGTAGTTCGTTTGTGGCTATATCGGCTCTGTAGTGCGAGCTTGTTAGCGGTATTGTGTGACGAAATGCAATTTGCGTCCATTAAATGGTTGTCCAATTACTTCTTCCTGACATATTTTGCCTAGGGGATTTATTCTCAAAGAATGCAGTGCTTGTTAGCTTTACGCGTTTCTCTGATGTAGCTTGTAATTCTTTAAGAATCATTTGCAGAATAAAATCAACTTGGTGATTATATGTAGGATCGAAAGCAATGAAGTGGTGATATGCTTATGCTAACCTGCTGGATTTTCTGAATGGATGCACATGAAGGCGCCTCACATCATCGAAATGGTTTGACCTGCTACTAACAAACAATTTTGCTAGACTTCAAAATATCAGTCAAATTTTGAATCTAAAATACGTTATTGTAAATCTCTTATTAGTGCGCGACTTTGACGGGTTCTGTAAAAATTGCTTCGAATTTCAAGGGGTAAAAAATTAAGACATCATAGAACTGTTTAAAGCGATAAGTGCGGTGAAGCACAGTATTTTAGACAGTTTTGAGAAATGAGACGAAAAATATAGCGAAGTAATATGAAATAAGATAATATAAGGTGAAGATCCAATATAAGATGAAGAGAAAGCTTAAGTGGAGGAAGGAAGAAACCGCTCATGAAGCTGTAACAGATATGAAATGTTTAAATAAAGGAATGAAGTTAGAGAAGATTAGAAAAACGAAAATATCAAGTTGCCAAATTATCCATTCATTGTGTGTATGCCGAGTTCAGTAAAACACTGCAATCCACCGCGAAATAGAGATAAATACGTGGGAAGTTAACATAAAAAAAAATTGTCATTTGTGATTATACAGTGACTGGTTGGATCCGAGAGCATTTTAAAATAGGCTAGTAGTGGCCAGCTTTAAAAATTTTATATACTGTTGTCGATGATTGAAATTGTTTATCCTAAATTTCATACATGATTTCATACGACTGGTGAAAGATTATTATTATTTTTCATATTTTAATTTCAGTGATTTCATTTCCAAAACTGTTTTATAATGAGGTATATCTGAGCTATCAGTTATTATTTCGAAAAATAAATTTCGTTAGTTTCAGGAGGTAGAATGTCAGCAGGAGGATCAAATCGACAGCGTCCATCACCGGAAACAGCACACCAAATTCACCACAAAATCGCTTGGAAAGCTATTAACATCGATGCAAAACACGTGATTTTTCGGTGCGACGGCGTCTGCAAAGACGATCCGAAGGTAGTCAATAATTTAATGCATATTCGTGCAAATAATGATAAATAAGGAATTAATCCATAATTGCTCTTGACAACAAATTTATAAAATGCTTTCTTATAATTTTTCTACTTATGAATTTGTCCTATTCTTGTGGGAACAAGGAGAAATATTTATTTCTGAATAGAGCAGTAATTGAATTAGTTCTGAGTTCGAGGGACATCAAACCACTTGTTTAGTAAAATTCCGTAATTACAATATATTCGATGTGTGATTTGGAAAGATTTTTAAATTGAGAATTTTCTGCATAAATTAGTTTTGCGCTCTGCAACGATTTAGAATAGAAAGTTAATTGTTAGTTTTTTACCAAATGTTGGAATGGAAGTTAGATGCATTCTTCAATTTGATTAATAAAACAGAGGAGATTGATAAATTAGTGAACCGTGCAGAGAGTGCATGGCGTGACATAGCAGTCATGGTAATAGGAATGATATCGAGAGTGAGTTTCATTTACTTAATATTTGATGAATGGAATTTGAATAATTTTAGTATAATGTACATATATTGGGTGATCCGAGGAATCCATTAACAAGATTTCGCAGTGTGGAATCGATCGACCTTCCACTGCCTTCTTTTGTTGTAAGTTAATTTTTTAGAGATTATATTCGAGTTACTTGCTTAACTTTTTTTTCATTTTGTTATGATTTCTATGAAAGTTATTAGTGTCCTTTTCCAAAATTTTCTTCAAGTAATAATTTTGCAAAGTGTTGCGATTTTTTTCTAACTACAGTCAGTTTAATGGAACGAAAACAATTTTGAAAAAATTTGAGAAACTTCCAAGTCTTGATAATCTTTGTAAAATTTTTTTACAGCTGGACAATAACTCGGTTGGACCACAACCAAAGCGTGAAGTTTCCATATTTGGTTTAAACGACAACATAAACCATACATTTTTGACTGATATGTGCCAGTAGGTCTTTGCAAATTTTCTTTAAAAAAATTTGTTCTTATGATGGAAAGTTGGAATCTTCGAGGAAAATGAGTTTACTTAAAAATTTCACGCTTTTATAAATGAAAGATGCGAAGCCCATTTGACATTTATGATATTCCAATATTTTCAGAAAGACAGGTCAAGTTATTGAAGTATTCGTATATATGCATCCTAGAACAAAAAAACATTTGGGTATGGCATACGTTGTCTTCCAGGAAGTCGGCAAAGCTGAATCTTTTGTTGCAAAAAATAACGGTACTTCAGTTATGGGGCAAACAATTACATGTATCGTTGATCCATATGGTGCCTTTTATTTTTACTTCATTAAATTACTAGGTTACATGGACTATTAGTACTGAATTTGTTACACACATATACGTATGTACATATACATACGTACATAGATACATCACACAATAGGGTTGAAGAGAGTTAATTAATTGGTTACCAGCATTATATTTTATATTAGCCTAGTTTTATTGGAGCTATGCAAAGTTACGAGATAACTAATTACTCCAAATAATAGAATATTTTGTTTTTGAGCGAATGAAATAAGTCGACGCTATGAGGAGCGAGCAGTGGAAGCAGCACCAATACCTCGTTACTTATCACGCTTAGATCGTGATAGACTAATTGAATTTCGAAAGCTCAACTCCATAAGTACATCTGAATATGTAAGTTTTATAGCGTTCTTTTCAAAATAATTGGATTGTCTTTGCAACTAGAGTGAAATTAACTATACGAAAATCAAGTTATTTTACAGAGAGCAAAATGAATGAATTCGATTTATTACAAAAATTTCTCGAACAATTCTGTCATTAATACGGTGCATCTCTTAGTCGGGGATATCCGTCCTCACGAAATTAATCATGAAACCGTTTCACGCATTTTACTCTTTCATGCAGAACTACATATCAATTTTTAATGCATTCAATTGACTTAATAGCAACGCAAAACACGTATAAGTGAAGGAAGAGCAGATAAAAATATTTTAAATTTCAGAAAAGCACTATCACAAGTCCATCTGTTTCTGTCAATGCTCAACATTCCATTGATATTAAAGAACCAGAATCAACGCCGAAAAAAGAGTCTGACGAATCTGAAGTGGCAGTTCATCACGATAAAGATCGACAAATGCATCAGCAGTCGGTTGAAGCTTCGTTGACAAAAAGTACCCAATTTTTAAGATGTTATTATAATATGCTGGGATTAGTTTGGTGTTGCGTACTTAACATTCTGTGGTTGGTTTGAGAATACATACTTGCAGTTCTGAAAAGCGGGGGGTCAACTTTGGGTTTACTCAGTCTTACTTTCTTCCAAATGACAAAACAAGCAGGGAATTAACAGTTAGAAGTTCAAGCGAAAAGTTATGAGGAAAAGACGTGGTTGGTGAATACTTTTTTCTAAAGCTTTTTGTCAACTCAATTCCAATTACATGTATTGTTTAATTAAAACAGTGTCTCATTATTTATATGATAAAAACTTCTGTATTACAGCAGTACACATCGAAAATGTAATACCGCCTAATGAACGTTCGATAGTCTCCACAGTAGTCGGACACTTTGCCCCATCGACAGCATCTCCTTCCATTACAAGTTCGTGTCCGCCGTCAACAGCAGTTCAAGCAGCAAATCAACCATTCTGTTCCCATAATTTCTTGTCTCACCAACATCCTCAGACACCATATACTTACTACCATTTGATATCACCCAGTCCTGTATCTCCTCTTTCAAATTTTCCACCAGTTTCACCTTCCGCCAGCGTTTTTTCACCACTGCCGCCTCTTCCACCAATAGCCCCACGAATGCCATTTCCTGCATGGTCTAATGTACCGCCACCACCGCTGCGAACTCCAGGTTACTTTGAAGTTTTGGTGATCTGGAATATTTGAAGGCTGGTAGACTCTCTGTGCCTTTTCAATTCCTTACCCCATGCTATAGTTTTATAGGTATAAAGTAATTGAAAGAGCGGTTTGTAAACATTTCAATTTTTTCCAGCATTTTACCAGGAATACTAAAAATTTAGAGTTTTAATTGATTCATCTCCTTCATTTTATTTATTTGTTTGGTTAACGTTTCCAGCAGCTAATTCCTGGCCAAGGGCAAAAGCAGTTGTATCGACTCTAGTTGAGGCTGCTCAACCTCTTTCCATGGGGAATCCGGCACCAGCAACACCGAATTTTGCATCAACGGCATATCAAGCTATACCAAGTACTTCATGTTGCGAAGAAATTGCACCAATGGATCCAGCACCCTCAAAAGTTTCTTTTTTCGAATCATGTATTGTCGTTGTTTTTTGGTTCGTGGTGCCTTCATTGCGGTTCTAATACATATATTATTCATGAAAGCTTTGTCTTTTAAAGAGAGAGAGAGAGTAAGACATTGTAATGGAGTATTTCCCATCACGTATTTCCTGTCAGCACTTTTCATGAACTTTTGGAGGAAACTAATTTATACACTGGTTTCACCCAAGGTTAATCGAATAAGCCAAGACATATATTTCTGTCATCAGTACGCTGTGTAATCATTTCAGAATATTGAGAAGATTATCTGAATTCTAATGGCAGGTAAAGTCATGGTCTAAAAATTGGTAAATCCAAATTATGGAGTTGCGGATTATTCTTCATGAAAACCCTTAAATGGCTTAAAGTATTTTTACATTTTTAATGTCAGGAAAACGAAGAAAGAAAAAAACCGAAAACAGCTATACCGAGTGCGCAGAGAAAGCGAAGTGTTCCAGGTTAATTTAAAGTTATTTCTTTTTCAGTAAATGTAACAGATGGGATTTACTTGTATTGGAAATTTACTTTTCAAATAAATCTTTAAAAACAAGGTTAGTCTTTTTAGATTTTTTAAACAATGTTCTATAAAAAATAATTTCAAATAAATTCAATGAATTTGGTAGAGGGATAGGTTTTCTGCATTTTTTGAGGAAAAAAAACAATATTATTCGAAAGGAAGTTAAAAACTATTAGTGTTTCATCTTACAATAACTTTTCAAATAATATTTCTTCTTTAGCAAATGCAAAAATAAAAGTAAGAAAAAGAAGGCGGCTTCGTGAGTCCACTTCGGTTTCTTCTGCTTCTGGAAGTAACAGTTCGGAGAATGACGAAAGAAGTGAATTAAGCGAAGTAAGTTCAGTAGATAGCAGCAATACTATTAAAAGAAAACATCGACATCGAAAAAAAGGAATTATAGAAGTAAGTAGCATATTCGATATTACAGTGTTACATAAATCTATTATTTGTTTAACTTTACTGTGGAATTTTGTGTGATTTTTATTCTCAGTAGCTCTTCTATTTTAGAAATTAAGTTTTGGACTTCTGCTGGGGAAGGATAAAATATATACACTATGCTTTTTATTTTTTGCGAAGTTTTCTTCATCTTTGCTTCCTTTCTTTTCTTTCAACTTCCCTTTAGAAAACAAAGTGTGGATGTGAAATTCCGTCTGCTTGATTAAACTAAGTGTTGGCATCTGCATAATGTTTTTTCATTTAATCTAAGATAAATTTAAATCGTAATATGTTATTAAATATTATTCATTTTCATGGAAATCATGATTACTTCTGCCACACAATTATAAGAAATTGTAATATCATTTCCGGAGTTTTTATCTTACCTCCATTCTTCTTGAAAGCACAGGAGGGAGAAGAAAAAAAGAAAAGGGCGAGAAGGAGATAAGAGGAGATGAATTAATTTTTTGGATCGTCTGATTTTTTTGATTTATAATTATGTTTTGGACCCCTTTTGAGTGGTAACTCGCTTGATTGGTTTTTCGATATACTGTTTTCTAATGATTTAAATTCAAAGCGGAATTGAAGGTTTTTTAGGAACATAAATATTACAAAAGGAAAGGAGCAGGCGGAACTAGTGATTACTACAAGGTAATGGGATTTATTTTGTTCGTATCGACTGCTGAATTTTTTTGGATGACATAGTGAAGATCTGGTCATTAATCTAATACTGTATGAAATTATTTGAAGACTTTTCCCTCAGTTGATTAGCATTTTAAAATACAACAGTTTTTATATTGCATTCTAATATATTGGTGTACAGCTGCTCATAGTGGCTTTATAAGTGGAACTTTTAATGAAATTTTTTTCTGGTGTATCTTGAAAACTTGCAGAATTTGTTTTTTTTTTTCATTTTATTCTTAGTTGATCTTTGAAATCTCAAACATATAAATACTAAACGTTATCATATTCATTCGTTTTGGCGTCATTTTAAGAGAGGAAATGAGGTAGCTGAAACCGTACTTGATATTTTTTCCTTGCGTATCCATAGAAGTCATATGATGTTACGAATGACGTGAGGTAAATCAGGGCATTTAAATTACGTTTTGATTTCCAAGCGGATATTTCATATTTTTCTTTTTAGGAAATTGTAATTCGGAAGAATGATAATACAAGAAAATATTCACATGAAACTAAATCAAATTTACTTCAATCACCAGAACTTGTGGAAGAAGTGGAAAGTTATCAACGCATACGAAAATATAAAAAACGGCAGCAAGAAACTGCTGAGCGAGACGAGCATATTGTGGAGCCGGATGTTGATTTACCAGATCTAGAAAGCGTAAGTAGTGAAGATCAGCTTAGTATGGAGCAGCAAGAGCTAAAAGTGCAATCACCGGTAGGTTTCGGTTCAGTTTAAGTCATTATCTCGTCAGTAAAATAATAGGAGATCAGTTCAGTAAATACTTGAAAAATTAAAAAACAGCTTAAAATGTATCTGGAAACTTTTTGTTTGATTTCACAATGTTCAAAGCCTTAGCTCTAAATGAAATGACCCGTGGGTATCTCAATGCATTTAGCAGTTCCAGGCGAAAAAAAGCCATGGGGATATCTTATCAAATATACAAACTCACCAACAACAGTCCAAACATGTGGATTGGCGAAAGAAGCGAATTATGGAAAAAAGACGCAAGCAGCGGTATGTTCCGGTACTAAAGTCAAAAAATGAAAACTTGAAAACTTTCCAAAAAAGTTTCTTCATATTTTTAAGGCTAGAATAGGAATGTTTCACTGATGTGACACCAACTTTTCATCAGCTTCACTGTGGTTAAAGGAGAATTGTGAAAATTGAAATGAGGATAGCAAATTTTGTCAAAATTTTTCTTTGTCACAAAATAAAAACTTTATTTTATTATAGTGACCGCAAAAGTTATAAAGATCGAGAAAGTTCTAGTTTAAGTGGAAATGAAAAGGGTCATAGATGGTCTTCATCTTCCTCAACTACTGAGTCAGAAACAGAATCTGATGAACCAAACTCTTTCACGAATTGCAAAAAGTATGTTTTTGAAATGAAGTTCTTATAGTTCGTAAGAATTTCATATCTTTTTATATAAACCCGAGATTTGCTTGAGTGCAGCAAACAAGGCAGAGATATTCTTTTTATGATTTTTTCGATTCAGTGATAAGTATAATTTACCACAAATTTGTTTATCAGATTTGTAATCATTTAGAAAAATGAATCACTTTTCTTATTTGTAATTCGTATAGCCGATTTTTAGGATACGAAGACGTCCTTCAAACCTTCACTCACCAAAGAGTTCAGAAATGATAAATCTATCGGTTCGTTTTTTATGTACTGGATATTGCATAATCCTAAGTTTACTGAAAAATTTAGTTTTTTTTATAAATTGGAAATGTAATCAGTTTTAAATTGAAAAGTGGTCATTTATTATTAAAACTTAGCTTTTTTAATCGACAATATAAACAGATATTGGAATACTATAAGTTTAACACAACTGTCAAGATACTCTTCAAATTGTAGAGACTAGCTCCAATAGCTTATTAGTCAAATTGTTAAATTATTTAGGATATGGTCGAAGCGGTGACTACAAGCAGCGAAGAATCGCATGGTGAAGAAGTTGAAACAAGTGGCATATCGCATCAATTAACAGTACCGCATAGCTTAATAAGTTAGTCCAATGTAATTTTCTTAAATTGGACAATTTTCAAAGGAAGGCGATGACTGCTATCAAAAGCTTGATAAAATTAGATTTAAATACTGTGTGGAGTAAATATATGCAGTTCGAAAAGTTTTTCAGAGAATGAATCAACTCAGTCACTACCAATTCCTAGTGTAATAGCTTCACCTGAAAAGCTTTCGGGTGATTCTCCACTTCCATGCGTTATGCAATCTACTCCTCCAGCAGAAAACTTGCGACCTTCGTTTGAACGACGATTAGAAAATTTATTTCGATCCACTTCAGTGCAACCTCCGGTGGGTTTGGCCAAAATTTTTGAAGTTTATATTTTTTTTGAACGTAGCACAAAAGTAGGATTAAAAAATTCTAGTTGAACTATAATATGCTTAAATTCGTTTTACTTGAAAGCTAATTTCAAATTAAAATAGGACGAAAGGAAAATAAAAAGGAGAGCTTAAAATAAAAAAAAGTGATAATGTTGTGGGAGATTTGTAGAAGATAGTATCATCAAAAGTAGAGATGGATAGTTTTACTAACAGTACAAACCAGATTACTAACTTATCTCTAATAGTTCGATTCTCTTAGATTGGAAGCATTCAGTGATCATACGGAACGGAAAAAGGGGAATGATTTTTTTCTGCTACTTATAAAAAGAAATGCTATCAAGAGTTACCCTTGAGTTACCATATCTGTTTTTTACAATGTTTGTGTGTGCTATCGCATTTGTTGGATTTTCAGATTATAGAGACGCATGAAGAGCGATCAAACGATGCATGTCATACTACAGTTCCACCTATTTCAGGTAAATATTAGTAGCTGTTTGCCTTTTCATTAATTTCGGGAAAAAAAAATATAATCCTTAATCGTTGAATTCTTTTTTTATTAACACACGCTTGACAAAATGTATCATCTTTTCTTTTCAAGTTTGTCATCCTTACTAATGCAAGATGAATTCAGTTTACTTCAAAACTAGATTAACTCTTTACTTTCTAACGAAAAATGCTTGAGAATTAGTAAGAAATAAATAGAATCTGGAAGAAATGCTAATGATGATTTTCTGAATGACCGAAGAGCATCATGAGTTGTTTGGTACTTACTAATTATGTGTGGTATATATTAAAGATGCGAAATACATTAATGCTGAAATAGGCTTGCGATGCAATTGGGTACATCCAACACCTTCAGTTAGGTCACCTAAGAAATATTACATGATTTAATTTTCTGTGGTTGACATTATATGAGTAAATTCTAAAATTACATATATTGTAGTAACACAAATCTCTAACTCATATCATTTTTGATTTTTTTTTTCACTGGACTCATAAAGTATTAGCTATTTTTCAGGCTTTGATATGCCTTTTTTGCCACCAAATACAACACCTAATGCTGGGGAATTGAAAGGGACACCTCTGTCCGAAACTGCCCTTATCAAGCATGGCAGTAAAAAGATTTCTGTAGTCAAATATCCACCTGATTTCAATGCTGTGTAAGTTCTAAATGAAATTTCGAGTAAAATTGCAATGGTAAAAATTATAAAAAGAAATTATTTTGATATCCCTTCTGTACCTTAATTTTTTGTTTCGTTGAATTCGAACAGTGCTGTTATTTGAATAACTGCCACTTGTAGTTTCTTTCCATTTAATTTTTTTTATTCATCTTTTTGGAATAGTTTTTTTTGAAGTTGGGTTCTAATTTCAAATCTTCATTTTATGTTTTTTCTTTAAATCATTCGCCTTTGACTGTTCAGCGAGTCTTGGACAAATTCACAACCACAAGTAACAGGAAATTTGATATGTCATGATGGTACTTCAGATTCAGTTTCTTTCGAGGTAAGTGGTTCTTTTTTATAGAATTGGAAAGTTCCTTATGTTTTACTGTCCAGTCTAGAAATGAGCATTAAAAGATTTAATGCTAACGTGAACATAAATTTAATCCAGCTGCTGAAGTTAAGCAATATTTTATGGTATATCTTGACTTCGTGTTTTACAGACTGGTATATCTTCTCCTGTGAATGCGATTCGTAATAAGGTTGGGGAGGAAATTACACATTTGGATAAAATAATAGGAGAATGGAATGAACTGGTTGAGGATCAAGAAATAGAAGTCGAAGCTGGATCGGAAGAGAATGAGGAACAAAGGGAATTGGAAGAGCAAATTTTGGAGAAAAAAGTGAAGATTGTAATATTATTCTCCTGGCTGTCTCTTGTTCATTTATATCTCATTCATTTTTCAACCTCAATAAAAAATTCATCTTTATTTCAGAGGGCAGCTCGTGAAAATTATGTTCATGCAGTATATGTGGCAGTTCGCGAAGATCTGAAAAATGTTTTGCTAAAGGATTTAATGCGCAAAATTGAAAGTGTTGCATTTGAAAAGTTGGAACAAGGTTGGAAAGAAAAGGAAAAAGTCAAAATCGTGGTACTTGTTCAAATGCCTTTTAGTCGATAAGTTAATAATTCCAAAAGATTGTGGGGAAGATTTAAGAAATAAATTGCCACGTTCTTTATAATATAAGTGAACTTTTACATTCATTGATATTTTTAATTATGGTCTTAAAAAAATATGCAGCATTTTTATCATTTTATGATGAGTAATATACTTCAAAAAATTGAGCTTCGAAATTGTATTTTTTTGCTCATAATAACTTCTAAAGTAGTAATAGAAAAGTCATCATTAAGATCATTTAAACTTGAATTAATTTCAAATTGTTCATTGGGAAATTTTTGACCACTATTCGATAAACTAAATTTTCTAAATCCATTAATTAAAACACAGTAAGATATATTCTATATCACTTAATTAATATGGATTTCACGAACTTTTAACCTGTTTTCAGGAGCGGGATGATGATTCTTTACAAAATGAGGCAAAAGATGGTGCTAGCGATACTCCAAATCTGACTCTTGATAAAACCAACGTTCCTTTTGTTAAGCAAACATTGAGGTAGATTTATGATACGACTATTCATCTGAGTTAAATAATTTCTAAATATCACTGAATAGACTATTTTAAATGGTTGGTAATATTTGAAATTGATTTAGAAAAGGTGCTTAAAGTCTTCTGTTGACGACTGATTTGTTTTATTCGAAAGGAAAGATAGATTAGTATAATACAGAAATCCAGGACTTGCTTGCATTGTTCACTATGCAAAAATTAGAAATGCTATTTACCGAAGTATTAAATCACGGAATTTGCATTTCCAGACCTTTTTGGAAGTAATGCATGTGTTTTATTGAAATTTAACTCTGTTTTCCAGTTCAAAAGATTCACTAAATGAAGTGGTCCGACAAGTGACTGAACAAACAAGAGCTGAAATATCGGCAGCATTTGGTCCCGACACAGCGGCATTGTTGGGCACTGGATTATTTTTCAAAGGATTGGGCATCGCACGGAATATGCCTAGCTTCAAAAAGGTTGACTATTTCTGTTTTTTGAGAGTCGTTAATAAGTTATGCAACTTTATGTTTGTGGTAGACATTATGTAAATGAAGTTTTTGTGTTTTTCATTTTATAACGATCGTTTTATTTTGTTAATTCGTGACTAAATTTCTGCCTGTCTAAACACCGAACGATGGTGCTCTTTTACTATGTTGAATGAAGTGTATATTTTTGTTCCGTAGTTTTTCACCATCTTTTCATCTTACTCATTTTTTCCATATATTCTCAGATTATTTTTATTGTGAAAGCAGCCACTTCCAGAAGCAAATACACTTGTCACCGAAACGAAGACAACGATTCAGAAGCAGAAGTAGTTGCAGATCATCTTGTTCTGCCCATTCACGTACGAGAAGCGACAGAACTTCAGAATCAAGTCGAAGCTGTGAAAGAAGTGAAAGTCAAAATCACAGGAGTGAAAGCAGCTTGGCTGAGGGAAGAACTTCAGATGATGAAGATACCAAAAGTGAAAATGAACGGTATTATTTGACTGTTAATAGTTTATCTATGTTTCTTGGAAATGTCAAATTTATGTGTACGAAGTAAGGCTCTAGTCTGTTTCAGTACCTGAAATAATATAAATAAAAGTTAAGTCTGTAAATAGGTTTAATGAAAGCTGACCAGAATAAGGATTCCTTGAACTAAAATATACTCATTTTCATATGCCATTATTGTTCATTTAAAAGAATTTTTGCAAATTACGTGATAAAAAACATGTTTTTCTATATGCTGCTTTTTGAATTTCAATTGAATTTATTTCATACTCTTAATTTCTATATAAAGAAATGACTGTTGAACTGTTTTTAGAAGTGTGAGTGGAAGCGAATCTATATGCTCAACAGGTCGTTCGAATCGGATATTTTCGGGAAAGAAACACTTTGGCTCTGGAACTTTCATGCCAGTCGACGGATCAACAAGTGAAGAAGATGAAGAGGAGGAAATGGACGAGGAAGGGGAAGAAGAGGAGGAGGAGGAGGAGGAGGAACAGCTGGAAGAACAAAAGCATGTCGAAAAGGATTTTGACAAATCTGCACATTCTGGTTAGCAAAATATTTTCTGTTAATCAAAATTATTAATTTTTTAATTTATATCGAAACATAAGTGAAATAAAGTGCGAACTAGAATTTTTTGTGGTGTTTGATTTTAAAAAATTTTTAATTTGTTAAAACAGAATCTGTGCCACCGTGTACAAGTCATCGTGTTTAAATTCTGCTGTTTAACGATGATTTCTTTTTAAAGCTCTTTTTCCTTTATCAAAAGTAATGGTTTCCAGAGATTGAACTATATAATCATAGTCTGTTAAGGTTTTATACTCTCATCTTGTTAGTGCACAAAAATTCTTGCATTAGGATCAAATTTTCTGTGCAAAAAAGATTCAATTTTAATCTTTAAGAAACTGAGGAAAAAGCAATGTTATTGGTTAAAATTGAAACTGAAGAAAGCAATGGGTGTGACGGAACTGATTCTTTAAGGTTTGAATTTTTTAACTCATTTTCTTGGAAGTTTGCATTATGATATATTGCAACAATTTGTCATATAAATTCATATTTTATACTTCAAAACGATTGCATTACGGGATGTATTCTTCAAAAGCAGTTTTTTATTCATTAATGGATAAATTATAGCAGTTGCACAGCAATATCCCAATTGACAGAACACGATAAAATTAACGAAGAATTGAAATCAAGACGCGAAAAGGTGAAGAATTTTCTAATGAATCGCTTTGGCTGATTCAAATTTATTAGAAACTTCAAAATAAATTAGATTTTAATTGGATTAAGTTGGTACAAAGAACTTTTTCAAAAAACTGCCCTCTTAATTTTGCATGCAATATAAGATAAACTCCTCAGTGTTTTCCTCTCTGTTCATCTTTTATAATGAGGGAAACATGCCTAGTATCAGTCGTTAAAAAAATTTTAAAAAAAAAAAAAGCACCTCAATATTTTTAAAAAAAAAAAATTCCATTTATATAATTAGTCAATTGAATGTTTGCTTTGCACATAATTAGTACATTATTTCAAACTTTTCAACTTAAAATCATTGAATCGGTTAATTAAATATCTTATTGAGGTGCTCGGCGTTGCAAATATAGAAGGATATTTCAACGATCACTGCTATCTTGCCGCGGAATTATCGGAACAACTGAAAAAAGAGCTTGAGGAAAGCGTTTCAGCATGCAGCGATAGCGAAACGATATCCTCGGAGTATTGTGAAACAAGAAAATTAGGAAAACCAGAGGAAACACTGACAAAACACATAAAAGATAAACCTGGTATGAAAATGCAACTGGTGATAAGTAATCATTCATTCTCAAGCAGTTCCTTAATGAACAAAATAGATCAGGCAGAGCAGTTTTGCATCTGAGATTTTTTCGGTTTCAAGCGTATTTTGTCCATAAATATTTTGGAAATGCTTAAAAGGATTAACCAAAATTTAGGAATCGTCTAAAGATTTATTTTTAAAATTGCAGCAAAAGTAAAAAAACGATGTTATCGAAATGAACTTGCTTCGCTACTTCCACCACCTGTTGATGTGGAACAACTCGCATGGGAGACAAGTTGGAAACCTGCAAAACAATGGGAGAAACGAACTCCCGAGGAGGAAAAAAAAGTTTTCTGGAAATTTGAAAAAGTTAGTTTCGTTCTAATTTTGATGCATAATTTTGCTAGTAATAGATGGGATTTAAAAGGAGGGAATAGATTTTTTTTGGAATTTAAAAGAGTTATAATTAGATGAAAATAAGATTTGAATGCAGGCATTTTATTTCTATCTTTTTAACACGGATTCAAAACTTCTCACTTTCAAGGAAGATCTGGATGCAGAAGATTTGATGTTTTTGGAAAGAGCATTTCATGAAATGCAAAATGATGGAACGGCGACATGGAATAGGAAATTGTACTGGGTACCACCGAGAAAAATGCCAGAAGTCCATTTATTGGTTAGAAATCACTAAATATACCAGAATGGATTCAAGACAAATTTGCTACTTTATTATGCAACTATTAAATATTTTCATTTGACATAAAAACAGCAATATATTCATAATGTTTCTTTTCCTGAATATTGCTTTTATAGGATAAACCGAAGAAAATTGGAAAAAATATTTACTATTATGATGATCCTGAAGTAAGTTCTCACATTTTTTATGAAATGTATAAGAAATAGTTAAAAGTCCACAGAATTTTATCAAGTTAGTAGAATTCCTGAAGACTATGATGTAATGTGTGCACCTAAATATTAGTTCTATATATTAATTCCTACATATTAATTTCTTATTATTTTTATTGCAGCTGGAAGGTGTAGTACCTCATTCGTCCGGATGTGCCCGTACAGAAGGCTATTATAAATTATCCCACAAGGAAAAGAGAGGTGTTCTACGACGACCGGATGTTTTCTTAACGGAAATAAATGAAAAGGTCTGTGATTCAAGTATCATATTAGTAAGTATGCTGATGTAGTTTTAGAAAAAAATTATTTAACTAAATGAATAATGAGATCAAAAATATACATAAGAATGAACTACTTTCATATTCATTATCGTGAATTACTGGTGATTGAATAGATTCAGAATTGTTGTATTTTCTGCATAATGTTTTACTTTCTTAACCTCATAAATGTTTTAATGGAAAATTATCGAAATACTGTCATTGAAAAATAAGGGATGCTCTTTAATAAAAAAAGATGTGAATTTGCATATTTTGTATTGTTACTAGTTTAACACTTCAAAATTTTTTAGTGAAAGTAAGATTGCTAATGTTTGCATTTACAGGATGATGAAAAAGCTCGATATTTGGTACAGTCTACACGAGAAGCACGAAGCATGAATCGTCGTTTATTGACATCAATGGGTGATACCTCGTCTAATATATTCAAAGTCAATCAGCTGAAAGTAAATTATTCAAGTTCTGTTTCAAAAGAAAGTTTTGTCAGGCATTTTTTAATGAAATCCTCTGATGTAGTTTTAGAAAAAAATTATTTACTATTATGATGATCCTGAAGTTCAAAATCACTCCCCTTTGAAAAGGAGAAACACATTTAAATTTTTTCTTTTTCCATGAGGCAGTGATTTTGAAATTTTATTCTCTTAATACATAGAATAAATACTTCCGGGACAACTGGGAAATAATCTGTATATTTTTACCGATGTTTGTTGTTGTTGTGGGTTTGTTGGATATTATCTCTTTCCTGTAGTTGTTGTATGTGTCGTCTAAAATCATGGTCTATAGTTATTGAACGGAAATGTTAGCACTAAATGTGAACCCACATAAGTCCAAGTAATGAACAGTACACAGATGATAAAAAAGGCTAGAGTAATTTAGGGGAATTATCTTGGAATTATCTTCTTAATTCTTGTATACGAATTATGACTAGAATGAAGTTCTGTAATGTCATTATTTAGGTTCTAGCATTTTATACTGAACAGTGAGTTTCCAAAATTCTGAGTCGAGGTATTTGGAGTACACAAGAAATGATATGATAAAGTTTTCTGGTTATTTCTTATACTTTTACTCCTTATTTTTTCTGATTATAATGTAAATTGTATTATCTCCGAGATCTTGTTTTCAAGAAACTCAAAACATTTGATAGATTGTAGAAAAGCCGTGCATCAAAAGTTACAATGATGGTAATGCCCATGGAATTTGAATTAGAAATTGATCATTGTAGTTTAAAAATGGCAGCTCAAGACATTTGCTGGGTTGCACATATAGCATGTTCATGTTTTGGTAAACCAATTAAAGTAATTTTAATTTTTAAAACCTCGAGTATTTTTGGGTTTAAAAATTTGTTTTCAGTTTCGCAAGAAGCTAATTAAGTTTGCTCGATCTCGTATCCACGGTTGGGGTTTGTATGCGTTGGAAGCAATCGCTCCGGATGAAATGATTGTTGAGTATATTGGTCAGAAAATACGGCCGACAGTGGCGGATGAGCGCGAAAAACGTTACGAGAGACGTGGCATGGGTTCAAGCTACTTGTTTCGTATCGATTCTGATAATGTGAGCTGAAATTTCATTTTCTGGAGAATTTAGCTGTTTATAAGCATATAATGTTATTATATGAAATCGAGCATAAGTCTGATTATGATATTAACAAAGCAGTTGTTTATTGCTGCGTGCATTCTGCACATTTATTGTTTTGCTATCGGTATTGTTTTCGATATCGAGAGTAGTGCTATTCATAAACCAGTGAGGAGAGTTATGGTGAGAAGGAGCATTATTAGATATACTTGTGATCCAAACTTGATTTATTTTTTACAAATGATCTTGCAGGTCATTGATGCTACACAAATGGGAAATTTGGCACGATTCATAAATCATTCATGCCAACCAAACTGTTATGCTAAAATTGTTGTAGTAGATGGCGAAAAACGCATCGTAATTTATAGCAAGTTGGCAATCAATAAAGGCGATGAAATAACGTACGATTATAAGTTCCCAATTGAAGAGGACAAAATTGATTGTCTATGCGGAGCACCGGGATGTCGCGGATCTTTGAATTAGTAATTGTCACTTGACTGATCATTATCTTTTGCTGCCACATACAAAAAGCGCCTCAGGTTGCACTGCTTGTGAATTTTTGTTGTAATGAAGAAAAAGAATATGGACAGGATATGCTTTGATTGTGGATTTATTATTTTTATGTATTTCTGAAATTAAGGTACTTTTCATAGCTAAGAAAGGGTATATTTAAAATATCGTAAGGCTTGCTTATGGTACTTTGAGGCTGCAGTATGATTATAATCATAAAACATCTGTAGAGACGTACTCCTGAATCATTAAGGATATTCAGGAAAATGTTTGGATATATATATTTAAATGTTATATTGGAAGCTTTAAAAAAACACACTTGCAACATCTCGTTTTCCTTTTCTCGAGGCGCTTTAGTGCTGGATGTAGTTTGCTACCTCTAGATCAGTCTCATATATAATATTGCATAGAATTTTTATCAAATTTCTTGATTAATAAGCCTGCCTTGCTGTTGAATCTGTTTTATCCAAACTTTTGCGCTGTTGAAAGTTGCATCGAAATACTTCTTAAGACAGCAAAATATCGTCTTAACTAAGTAATTTGGAGAAGGAGAGTAAGGTGGAAATGAATCAAGTAAATGGTTGTATGGGTTAAGCGACTAGAATTTGTTAACACCACTCTTACTAATACCTCAGAAAAGCAAGATAACCATCCAACACATTTTTAAAGCGTTTAGGGCTCGATATAGCTGTTAACAGATTCGCTAGATCATGTTTGTATTATAGTTTTTATTTTTCTAAATTTACTGATTGTATTGAAATGTTTTTTATCTCGTCTTCTTTCTAATTCTGTGTTCTTTGTGTATTTCGTGATTTTTTGATTTTGTGATCTTTTTTATCACATTATAGTAATGCTATTTTTTGTGGAAGATAAGAATATTTAGTATATTTCAAACGTTGACGAGAAATTTTCAGTGGAAAGTTGTGTGAAGTAACACTTATAAGAATTTTGGAGTTGTGATGATTAAGTTGGTTTAGAATGTCATCATAGGAAATACCATCCCTCGATGTCTTGCCTATTATGTATTTTAACGTATAATAGTTAAAATACAGTACTCTAATTTTGATCTTGATCTCCTAAATGGAGACCCTACGTAACGTAATTTAATGAATCTGCATATTTTCAGAATATAAAAAAAATAAGGAGAAGAGGGGGTTTCATGTTAAGTTTAAAATAATAAGAATGCAAAATGTAGTAGAAAGGCAGCATGCACAAAAATTGCAGAGTGTATAGTGTACTGCAAGACTATCAAAATTATCATTCATAGGCGCATTTATTGTCACTTCTTTCGTTCATGTCTTGTGCTTATGTTATGATCTACTGCAATTTCTTTTGCTGATAATGTTTGATTAACTGTGGTGTTTAAATTGCTAATTTGCTTACTTTATCGTGATTCATTCTTTCGGATATTGATTCAATCAATTTTCGATAAGAAAAGTCTATAAGGCAGAATTAGGGAAGTTGGAGTGAGATTTTCTGAATTTTCAAAAATTTTCAAAAGTAAATCTAGAATTTAATAAGGACTCTTAATTCTTCCAATTTTTGGTATCAGCACTGTACGAAGTAAACAATAATTTTAGCCAATAATTTGAGTATTTGGCTTTTTGACATTATCAATGATTATGATTAATTAACAGAACAAATTGTGTGAAATTCAATTCAACATTTTACACTAAGACTATGTATAAATTATGATGAGCTTCAATTCAAAAATTTAAGGAAATTAAATGAGTTATTGCAAGATAAGTCAATATAATTATAATTTCACTAATTTTCTGCATTCGCTTTATGAAAAGAAAGAACTGTCTGCGTGTAAACATAAACATGATTGTATAAATAAAGAAAAAAATCCGGAAAAAAGCGGATTATCCATTGTAGTATTCTAAAAGCACCGTTTGTGTTTCATTTTGTCCATTATGCGAAGACTGTCCATTATGCGAAGAAGTAATGATAAAGAAGTCCTGCCTAACCTTTCTATTATTAATGAATATCACGGAAGTTGTTAGAAATGGGAGTAATAGTTATAGTTATTTTTGATACATGATTGGATTTCTTGCTTTAAGCTGTTATGATTATCTATTTTGAGACTGGCAGCCAATAATCACTGGGAAATTAGCTTACTTGAGTGGAGAAGTTGCAGCAATATGAACATGTTGTTTCATTTTGACAATATGAGGTTAGCATAATTGTTATAATTTCCAAGAATTGATCTGAAGAAAGATTAAAACTGTTCATATGACGATGGGATGGTATGAAATGGAAAATGCATTAGTAATAGTTTCCGGATTCATTTTTCATAATCCGGCCACATGCATGAAAATTTACCGGTTTCAAACAATTCATCAGCGACTGTGTTGATGAAAGAGAAGAGGAAATTAATGTCGGATATTGGAACTCTTAAGCATGTAAAAGAAAAACAAATTGAATTCTATGAATTTCAACTTTTCTCAATTGTTCTTTCAATGAGCGTTTTATCTATTTTGAGGAAAGCTTTGCCACACTGTGGAAACTCCTATAGAAGTACTTTGGAAAAGTAAGATAGGATTTATAGGATCTCAAATTCATATCAGTAATAATGGGAATTGTGAGAAACGTTTTTCGGAATGTTTTATTTAATATTTTCGCTCACTATTAAATCTTCAATAGTTTTTTTTTCTTTAAAAAATGATTTATTTCAGGAATGAGTGAAAAAACTGATATTTTTTGAATTTCAGGATTGAAGTAAACTCAATCAAGCTTTCAGTTTTCTGAATGGATAAAGTAATGAACTCAAGAATAGCTGTGCATTTTCTATTCTCTCCAAGATCTTGTAGTTCATTTAAGAGTAATTTTGCATTTTCTATCTTCTTCAAGATGAATAGTTAAGAAATAATCATTCTTCCATTCTATCCATTAAACATTTCATTGATAATTATTCAACAACAGTTAGACATATATCCGATTATCTTGAAATAGTTTGAATATTTTCAAACTAATATTAAATAAGTTCAAACTTAAAATTTTATGAAATCCTGTTAATTTAGTTGAAAAAAAAAACTAAAGGATATTTTGTTTAATCCTTTTATGAAGTTTTCTTTATTGTTTATTCAATGAAATCGTTTCTATCAAAAAACATTTCATTTATTGAAAGTTTGTTTATAGTGCAGTTTGTATATGCCATATGCACGCGCTTCTATTTTTATATTGCTTGTTGTAATTTTACTTCCTTAATTAAGCTCATTATTTTGTGTATCATTTTGTTCAATATTTAATTCTTCTATTAAAAAGCACATTTGACAAGAAATTTTCAATTTATTCCTCTCCAAATTTTATTTCATATTCTACAAATCTTTATTTTTGATGACGATGAAAATTAGATTCTGAATGAATGCTTGAAGATATTGAAGGATCTTTAAGATTTCAATTATCTATTCTTGTCATTATTAGCATTCCGATATGGACAAGAATAGATATCTATTTAGTTCAGATAAGTTTCACATACTAAAATCTATCACCTAAATATAAGAGGAAGAGAAAGGTAATGGAGGAAATTTTATACTTTTGTTACTAATGGATATTGCTTAAGAACTTTAACTCTATTTATTTTATCACATAATGTATTATCTTCGTTATATTTTTGTGATTAGTAATCCGATATCACTATCTTTTAAAACGTGTAAAGTGAGGACACTTTATGATTAGAGAAGTTGAGAGAAATAGAAATTCTCGTAAGTAATTACGATAATTAGATGATGTTTGAAATATGATGTTAAATGTTTTTGCTTGTTGAAATGGATATTTTCGACTTATAGCTAAAAATATTGAAATTAAAAATATTAAACAAATATATATTAGAGTGTTGAATATTTAACATGAAAAAATTTATTCACTTTGCTTTAAAATCTAACTATATCCGAATTTTCTATTTTTAATTTAGATTATGCTCATATCTTATCCTGAAAAAATTTACAACTGTTAAATTTTATCAGTTATTGGAAGCTTCATAAATCATTATCTCTTTTATTTCCAATTTTATTCAATAACAAAATTTTGTAAACTAATAAGCATTTGATAATAAATTTGTTATCATTCTAAAATTTTACTTTGTACAACGTTTTTCCTAATTGTCACTTATTAATATGCGGTAATTACGCGTTGTTTTTTCTCAGATGTTGTTAGTGAAGAAAAGTTACACTCTCATCAAGTATGAAACATTCTTCAAGAAATCTATTAACATCATTAAGTAAGCTTCGCAATATTACTTCATCATCTAATGACAAAACTTCATTCATTTCGATGACAAAATAAAGAGAGAGATAAAACAAATAGCTGCATCGCTCAATGAATCAATAACAGCTTTGTTATTATCTCATATTTTCAAAGTAAATATTTCTTAATTCAAGCTTTTTGGAATTAGCACTTTTTTTTCACATCTGAAATATTTTATGTTATCGCGAACTTCACCGATACCAAATATAATTCCAATTCATTCGATAAATAAAGAATATTACATAATTGTATGCTACTAAATTGTTGTTAGTATGAAGTCTGTTAAATAATATTTTAATGCTAATAATAGTAACAAGTAGTATTATGTTTTAATTTTCAACTTAATAGCAACTTCTGCCTGAAATAAGCATATTACCGAAAAACAAGTATTCAAACATTTCAGGTGATGGAAAATAAGTTTTTCAAGTGGGTGAAAAATCTCTTCATTAGCCATTTCCTTTTATCAACTTCGCCAAATTGGATAGAGAAACTCACTGCAGCGCTTACTTTGAATGATTAGCGCATGATGCATTCACAACACAAATCTGAAGGTTAATTTTTTTACAGTCAATTGGAAAAAATTATTTACTATTAATATTTATAGTTATTTATTTTTATTGATTTTCATTATTACTATATTATCATTTGTTACTATTATTGTTAATATCATCATTCATTCGTGAATAGATGTAATCCAGCATATGACCGTTGACGGTTTATTCGAG